CGTCTACGACAATACGTCCAGTCGTAGTGCCAGAAACTGGGATTCTTCGCATCGACGGCGAAACAAATGCCGAGGAGGGGTTCACTCCATTGCTGTCAAGGTATTCTGCCAACATCTGTAGCGTGAAGAAGCCATCTCGCGGAAGTCTCAGCTCCGAGACGTTCAACAAGTGAGCCTCGTCTCCACGGTCTTCCGGTATCGCTTCCATCTGGGCGGGGTACTCCAGCGTGAGAGTGTTCCTTTGCATGGGGACGACGTTTTCAAACGGCGTCCTGACAATCGGCCTCACCTGACAATCCGCAGATTCACCTGACGGACAAGTCAAGAGCGTGTACACGCTGAGATGTGAAAGGACGATGCGGACTGCAAGGCCAAGGCTGCGACGACCCCGACCATCGCTGCACGAAATGCCGGCGATTGGTACACAGTTTGCCTGACCTGAGCATCTGAAATTCATTTTCACACTCTGCACGGGATTGATGTGATCTTTTGCGGCTGATTGCTGATGAATGTGATCCAGCCAAGCTGCAGAAAGCTATTCCTGATAGATCCCAAAGCGTAAACGGACGAAAGAATAGGTGCAACTGCCCGGAGCGTTCGATAGGCCAAGCGGGATCCTTCGGCCAAGCACGGATACCAAACTGCATGAGCTCCTGTGGCAGGACTTTCACAGTCACTACCTTCAACCACACATGATAAATGCGCACATGTGTATGGCTCAATGAACTAAGTCCTCAACAACTCCACCTTCCTCCACAGTGAGCGTGGGTTGAAGCTCAAGCACCTCCCCCAACTGATCCAGCTTCATGTGACTTTAGGGCGGTGTTGACATGCATGGAGGTACGCGGGGAAAGGAACGAACGTGTAACAGCCACATGTGGAGCAAACCACAATAGAATCGCGAATCGCAAGCCTCCTCCGCAGCCTCCTTGCTCAGGGCGCGAAGCCCGAGTGAGCTGAGCAATCCTCATTCTGAAATCCCCGGGCTTTCCAACTTCCCCCTTCAAGCACTTGGGGATTTTGATAGTGTCGCTACTGCGACGAAGATTGCAGACCGCATGCAGAGGCTTTGGAATGATTTGCCACTGCTTTGGATTTGGAGCCTGTGGGTGCCTTGCAGCTTGGAAGGTTGCAGAGTGTAAGGAGAGATGTGCAAAGTTTCTCCCAGCTGCTTGCACAACTCTCACAACTCTGGACTGCCAAGCCTTCCTGGTGCTTCGGTGCTGCTGCGGCCCGTTTCTCTGTTCTCTATCAAATGACTGTACTGTACCGAACCTCCCAGCAAAGGTGCGTGCTTGCGGCCACGGCAGCATCTCAACACGATCCAGCTGCGTATGATTTTCCTGTGCCGGGTCGGGACCATGACTCGACATTCAAGAGTCACCAACTTCACATCACTCTGTGACAAATGTCTTTCCAACTTAGTCTTCCCACCTCTGGAAGCATTGTTGAGGCGGTTGCATAGGCTGGGCCATACTCTAGCACGCTGTAACGTGGGCCACAAACCTCGAGATAGGCCAAAAGACAACCAAAACACTGCAACCCTACTTGCGGATCCTCTCGAATCTTAGCAGCCGTTGCCGATCCAGACTTGCCAGCGCATTGTGTGTAGATGCCAACTACCTCCCTGGGATTCACCATGCCAATTTCGCCGACGCGGGCATTAAATGCCAGCCTTGGACAAGGCTGGGGCTTCTTGCCAAGTCTTGCCTCCCTCATGGCTGAGACATAAAATAACCCGCGCCAGGCTAGCCTTCTCGGTTTTGGTCGACCCTCCATGCGCAGTGTCTTTCAGTTTGTTGTGCTAGGCAATTCTCACCACCGCGAGGGGTTGCTTTTGAAGCCTCACCCCGCTCCGAACTTCAAGATCTGATGCTGCGAAGATCAAGTGACTGGTACACACAGGGGGTTGACCTCGTCCCAAACTGGTCGTTGATGGTGCAGACATCTTTCAGCCCGGCCTGCTAGGGACCCCGCAGAAGACACTTTCAATCCAAACGGTCCGAACGGACCCGGCCTTTGGCTCAAATATAATGAAATACTCACGATACGAAGGCCGCACAGGCTCATCTGCCACAACATCAGTGTAGAGCGGTCCGTAGTAGCATCCACGTGGAAGCGGAAAGCCTCACGACTCGCACACACTTTTCGTCAAAACAAGATCATGCAAACAAAATCTGCCTGAGTCATCGTTCGTCCACATTTCCGTAAAGAGCTGTCCACAAATGGCTTGGGTGGCGTTCCTTTCCAAGGCAAGCAATCAAACGCGAGGTGGCTGCGTGAAGCCACAACGGACCGACCATAAAGTTAGCTCAGCATAAAGAACAACACTGGACGCAGGAGGGGATGCCAAGAACACGGAGCATCAGGCCGGCAGGTGCTCTTCAACAGAGCGGAGAAAAGAACGAACCCTTTCCATGCCTGAATTTCTTGGCAGAAACTGCTCTCAAAACAAACCCAAAGCATGCGAACTTTATATGAGCGTTGATCAATATTCCTG